GGCAATATGCTGACTCTGTAAACCGCTTAGAGAGGGCTGAAAGCCCTATGAAGCGGTATATAAGTCTAACTGCTATTGCTATTGCTATTTTTAATTATTTTAAAATTTCTTTTCTTTTCCTCATGACACTGGTGAGGCCCCGCCTCCCCTGCCTCCCCTGACTGCACGTCCCTGAGTAAGAGGTGGTAGAATAAAAGGAATCTTCCTAAAAGCCACACTCAGGACCAATTGTTTAAGAGATGAGATCACATTAGAAGACTCAATTGGCTGGTTTAGATCTTCACTTCCTATTTTTATGTGCTGTACTGATTGACACATTAGACTATATCTGGAAAATTCACGTTGAAGTCCACCCTTGAAGTTTAATAGATAATTTGGGCCAGTCATGATCTCTTAGTCCAATACATCCCAGACATTTACTGTAAAAAAATTGAGATAATCAATACCTTAAAACCCTGGAGGAAAATGCAGACATAAATCTACCAAGTTATTTCACTATTCTATATAAATTGTTTTATATAATTATTAGTAGATGATCTGCAAAAACACTTCTATTCACCTCTATCATTGGAATATAGTCAATATACTGGTATTTCATTTCTATAGACATTGCCTCTCTCAGTTTGCAATCACAATTGTCAAATGGGCTATAGACGAAAAAGTATTGAAGGAAAGCCATTTTGCTGCTATCATTGCAATCAATGTCCTGAAGGGAAAATTTCCAACAGGAAAGGTATGGCACATATTGTTATGCTGAATGCAGATAAAATAATGTTTATAGTATCCTAGTTTCTGCTTCACAGAATGTTATATGGGTTAATTTAGGTATTTTTTACTCTACTGCAAACATTGCCATACATAACTTATTCAATAGTAATGCCCTGTATCCACATTGTATGTTAGAAAATGTTATGAATAGTAATTTCTAACCTATCCTTCCAAATACAGAAAGAGCATTGTTACATACCAAAAAGAACTATTTAACAAAAGTTACTGTGAGAGAAGCATATAAGGCATTGGCAGTAATTTGCTATATCCAGAGATCAAATACCAAATTTATTTCAGGTCACCTTCAGGTTGCTAATTAGAAAAAGAAGACAGCAAAGGTTCAAATGCAGTCAAGAAATAATAATCATTGTCAGGCGGACAAAATTTAAAATGCAAGGATAACTCATCACATAGATTCATGCAAAACAACATTCTGTACTTCCAACAATGGGCTATTCTTAATGAATTAGCAAGGCAAAAACTTTTATGCATGTATAAATATACCAGGCATGAACTTAAAAAATCTGGATGAATAATAGCAGCATCAAGATTTAGAGAACACTCATTCTAAATTTGGAATTTGATTTAGGGAAGGAAGGGAGGGAGAGAGGAAGGAAGGATGGGTTTTCTTTGGAAAACCATCCTCACAGGAAAACATGAAAAAAGCCTCTGTCCTGAGAATATATTTAAAATGTTAAAAAGCAGAAAATGGAAGAATTCTAGGCTGCATTAGATAGCAAATTAAATAAATCCAAGCAAACCTGCTTCCATCATCTGTACAGTAGAGCTTTACATAGCTTTTTCAAAATCTAAAAAATATTAATCTTAATGGACATCAAATTTCCAAAGCAAAAAATTAACACTGGGGCATATTATTTGATCTTTACCAACAGAGGGGAGCAAGGGGGAAGGAAATTTGAAGACGTGATTTATTAAGTAGTTGGAAAATATTATATCCTCTAATTTATACAATATGATTAGTTTGTTTAGATTATTGTACACTGCCAAGAGTAATTTGCCCTGACAGGATAAGTGTAGAAATTNAGTCAACCCTGAGCCGGTGAGATTTGAACCGCTGAACTGCTGATCTAGCAGTAGCCTGCAGTGCTGCATTTAACCACTGCGCCACCTTGGCTCCATAGCTTAGAATAGCTTATTCTTGTGGGGCTTTGGTTTTTGCCTCTGTCCTTTCTCTATATCCTTTGTTCATCCATTCACAGATACAACACTTATACTAAGTCTGCATTTTATCGAAGAGTGCACGCTGAAAACCATAACTCCTGACCAGAGCAAACCCAACCCAATCCAATCCATTATGTAGAATTTCCATGTGATTTGATATATCTCTATTATTTGCAGTGTACTGACTAAAAATTATCAACATACTCTGGCTTTAATATTTGCTGTAAAGGAGATAAATGAACACCCACAGATCTTACCTAATTTTACATTAGGTTTCAACATTTATGATAGCTATTATGAAGCAAAATGGACCTATCACAGTGCAATGGAACTTCTCTCCACACAGAAACGATTTATTCCCAACTACAGGTGTGACAACCAGAGTAATCTGATAGTTATCATTGAAGGGCTTGATATTGATGTATCACTTCCTATAGCAAATATTCTGAGTATCTACAAGGTTCCACAGGTTGGTTGAATGCTTGTTATGATTTCTTTAATTTTTCCAGCTTCTATCATTTGAATTTAAAAAGTGTGTACTTGAGATAAATAGGGAATTTAATTACTTTTTAAAATAATATAAAAATAATTGAATCAGTTCCTTCTCCGGACCGTAGAGGAGACACATTCTTAGCTGTATGAATACCTTTCTAGGAGTCAGCCAGTCAGATGAGGTTCTGATAAATTGAGTTCTTGTTTATAATATTTTATTTACCTGCCATAATTCAAATGTAAGATGTTTTTGCTTCAATTGTTTAATAGGGTTTCTCCAAGAGAAATTATATAATGTTATGGTCTTTTATTCAATTCTTCTAGCAGTGCCACTTCTCTTCAGTGAGCTTAAAAAGGAGATTTATTTTCAGATCAAATTTTCAGTTTTTCAATGTCTATAACATGTATATGCCACATATACAAATATATTTTTAAAAACCACTGTACTTTTTAAATGTGACCAGGCTTTTATTTTGAACTGGAGAAATATTGTTTGGAGAAATATAAATAAAATAAAATATATGTTTAATATATCTTATTTTCAATGTAAATATTACAGCATCATCTCTGACAGTGACGACAGTGTAATATTTACACTGATTGTAAATATTCTCCTTCTGATTGTTTAAACTTTCCCTCCTTCATTTGCGTTCTTTGATTAGGACTATATATGAAAGTATATTTTTCAGAAGGATAATAGCTACTTCCTTGGAAATCAAACTATACAAGTTTGTCATAAATACTACAGGTTTGCTTTAGATTTATGAATTTTTAGTAAAATACAGCTTGTATAATATAATGATCATGAAAGCTACATTATGAATAAGTAGGCTACTAATCTGAATCCACCTATTTTCCAGTATATATTTCCTCAGATATCAGAGTATTAAATTATCTCAGCAGTTAATCAAAAATAAAACAAACTCAAATTCCTATGTGAATAAATACCTTACTCTTCAAATACATTTATGTTATTCATGACGGATAATAAACTATTTAAATATCTTAGTACATAGGGAAACTTTTTCATAATCCAAACATAAGCAGCAAGAGGTTTCCTCATCCCAACCAATTACTTTCACTTGAAGAAGCATTAAATCAATGTTTTTCAACTTTAACAAGTGTGTGGGCTTAAACCCCCAGAATTCCTAAGAATTCTTGTTCTATGTAATATTTATTATTTCCATTGTTCATAATGTGCAAACATTACTCCTCTTCAGATTTTCTGGTTGAATACAAATTCAAAGAAATCAATTATTGTTACTGTTGAATATATGTTTTTTCTCTTTTGTATTTCTGGTTTGTATTTTATTTCTATTGATAAAACATTATATATACAATGTTTTATACATACATACATATACATATACATACATGCATGCATACATACATATACATACATATAATACACCCCCACACACCCAAGAAATTACAGAAGAATACTACCCTATACCAGTATTAACACCCATTGGGAGATTGCCTGAAGAGAGCTAGCTTGCAATTTAAATTAAATCTGTTACTAAAATCCTAAAATTAGCAAATATCTATTCTAACCCATCTCTCTCCCTCCATCTTTCTCTCTCTCTCTCTCTATTTTATCCCTGCTCATCTTCATGTAAAATTGTATAGTTCACATATGGGTCCACTGCAGTGATGAATAATCAAAAAGAATCACTCCCTTTCTTTCGGATGATTCCAAATGAAATTTTGCAGTATAAGGGTATTCTTCAGTTACTTCTGCATTTCAAATGGATATGGGTTGGAATCTTGGCAATAAATGATGACAATGGAGATAGGTTTGTACAGAGAATTGTTGCAGGATTTCCCATGAATGGTATCTGTTTTGCCTTCATAAAGAGAATCAACATTCCTTTCCTTGATGATTATATTAGTTCAATTAGTGAAATGATTGAAATTATTGATAAAATTAAGAGGAGTGAAGCCAATGTGTTGGTTCTCTATGGAGAAACTCGAACAATGATATATTGGAGATGGATGTTTCGACTATTTGAGGTAAAAGGTAAGGTATGGATTATGTCAGCCCAGACTGATCTCTTCTCTTTATCTTATCAAAGAGAATGGGACATTGATGTCATAAATGGAGCACTATCTTTCACTGTTAAATCATGCAATCTTCCAGATTTCCAATATTTTTTTCAAAGCAGAAAACCTTCCAACTCAAAAGGAGACAATTTTCTCCTAGCATTTTGGGAACAAGCATTTTCCTGTAAATTTTCAAATTCCCATGCAACTGGGGGCATCTGCATGGGAGAAGAGAAGCTTGAGGATCTTCCTGATACAGTTTCTGAAATGTTCATGATGGGACCTAGTTACGGCATCTACAATGCTGTCTATGCTATTGCTCATGCACTTCATGTGCTGCAGAAATCCAAATCCAGATATGGATCCATGGCAGTTGTACAAAGATGGAACCTTCAAAATCAGCCATGGCAGGTGACTGCTAATAAATGAAATTAAATGTGATATACCTATAAATGCAATAGTAGAATTCTAGCAATGCAGAAGCCACATGTGGTCTCCATGTTAGATTGCAGGCCTGCAGACATTTACCTGGAACTTGTAGACCTATTGGAAAAAATCATGAATTGATATACCATTTTTAATGCCATTTATTTTTCTACTGAAATATGTACCATTTAATAGATTACCAGCTTTTATTTTTATGTATATAAATATATGCATATTCAAATAATGTCATCCCCATATTTTAGGATTCTGAAAAGGATACATTTTATGAAATAATTTTTAGTTGTAAATTTACACATAATATGACATTCATCTCAATGACTAAAATGGAGTATTTATCTGTGTGGACCTATGCATGCACCACACTGGAGATTGAGTTTGATAATCAAAAAGGGTATTTTATTCTATGATTCAATAAATAATACAGCTGATCTTCCTTTTCTTTAAGTTTCATCAATTGCTCAGGGGTTTTTCATTCAACAACAGCGGTGGAAACAAAATTTCATTTGATCATAATGGAGAATTAATAGTTGGATTCGACATTATGAATTGGGTCACATTTTCAAATCAAACTTTTCTTAAAGTGAAGGTTGGAAAAATGAATCCTATCTCCACATTAGAACAAGAGTTCAGCATTAATAACTCTGCAATCACTTGGCATGACATTTTCAACCAGGTAAGTAATGATAATATCCAATTTAATATTGAAATGAGGTGCGGGAATTACTGCTTTGTATCCTGTTATAATATTAGAATATAAACTTGAAAATACATAATCTAAAAGTAATATTCTAATATTATATGGCCACTTAAAATTTCACAACTATCAAATTTTAAAATGCTTTTAAAAGAATGTCATCATCTCTTTTTTAAAAAAATAGCATTTAAACTTTGGACAGTCTTTTGTCCTTGAGTACATGGTAATAATTGAATTTAAAAAGTACAGTATATCTCAAGGACAAAAGCAGATTTTTAGTGTTCTGGTAATAATCTAACAGTAGGTTATCTCCAAAATAAATTATATAATTTTTTCCTGAATTGGATTGACTCCTGTTCAAACCATCAACAACTCAACTTATAATTCTCCAAACCAAAGATAGGAAATCTGTAACCCTCCTGATATTGCAGAACTATATCCACTTAGTAGAAACAGCCAGCATAAGTTAATGAGAATGATATTTAAATTGTAATTTGGAAACATATGTGTGGTCATGGACAGTCCATTACATTTTCAGTCTTTTTACCTAATATCCGAAAGCATTTGTCTTTCTTTTCTACTATATTATGCCTGACTTGTGTTAGATCTGAACAAGTGCTGCTGTTATTCGGGTTGATGTTATATGTCATCACAGAATACAGAGGGTTAGTTCTGGAATAAAAAGAACAAACAAAGGAAAACAATACATTATGCATTTAGGATGAAGAAACAGAATTGCTGTAACATCTGGGATTATAACAGTGGTGGGTTTCTGTGGTTCGCACCGGCTTGGGAAAACCAGATGGTGAAATTTACTGATCTGGTGAGAGGAGGTTCGACTGGTGGACTCGGAAGTAACTTCTGGAATGACTGCCCCGGCCCTGTTGCTCACTCATTCACCCCTGCTCATCAGGAAGCAGCTCCATTGCTCACTCCCCCCACTCGTCTGCACTATCCTAGTTCAATTCAGTGTCAAGTCCCATACCTGGTAGTGGAGGTGGTGAATGGAGAAGCATGGAGAGGTCCAGTGGCACAAGTTTTCTCCTGGATTCCTCTCTGTCCTGCCTCCTCCGATCTCCCAAAGTTCTTTCCCCAGAGTGTGCTAGCTTTCTACTGGATTCCCCTTTGTCCTGCCTCCTCCGATCTCCCAAAGTTCTTTCTCCAGTGTAATAGCTTTGTCCTGGATTCCCCTCTGTCTTGCCTCCTCCGATCTCCCAAAGTTCTTTCCCCAGCGTGTGATAGCTTTCTACTGAATTCCCCTCTGTTCTGCCTTTTCAGATCTCCCAAAGTTCTTTCCACAACATGTGATAGCTTTCTACTGGATTCCTCTCTGTCCTGCCTTCTCCTGTCTCCCTAATTTCGGCCCTTAATCCTCCAGTTGTCTATTTTTGGAAGGTTTACCCTCCCCTCCTTCATAGGAGTCCCAAAAAATTTTGCCACATGGCTTGGGGGTGGTGGTCATGTGACTGAATGCATGAGTGATGTCAAGTTGTCCATATTTGCCCAGTCACATGACTGCCAAGCCATGCCCACAAAATAAGCCACACCCACAGAATAGGTTCTAAAAAAAATTGAAACCCGCTACTGGATTATAATGATTAGGAAATAATGATATAACATCACTATTCCTCATTTTTTCCTCTCCCACCCTTTGGTTTTCTCAACCATCCTTATGACTAAATATATTTCATAATCCTATTCTAAATACTTCTGTATGAAATTAGGAATAGAAATCTTTCCTGAAGCAATCTCCTCTTCCAGAATTCATCCTATAATAGTTAATGATCTAGAAATAAGGATGGAATAGGAATTCCATCTACCCATGGGAAAAGGGAATCTGAAAGATGGTTTTTAGAGATTAGAATAAAACACTTTATTTGGCCAAATGTGATTAGACAGATAAGTTATTTGTCTCTGGTGCAGAAGTTCTCACTGCACATGCAAAGTAAAATCATCACCATCACCACCACCACCATCAACATCCCAATAAGAATGCGTAATAAAGTAGATAATAAGAAGTATAACAATAATACTATAGCCATATTATGTGGGTAAATATACTGTACATACACAGTACTTTGAGAATTAGATGTCTTTGTTCTGACATACATTTTATTAATGGTTTTAATGTTAGGTGTCCCTTTCAAATCCTGGGAGATTACAGAACAAAAAACCTGAAGGGCTCTACTCTGATATTGTGCTGTCAAATATAGTAAGAGCAGTGACGTGCAATAAGCTTCATGGCCGATGAGGCAAGCGTGAAAGCTCTGCCGAAGCCTGGGTGGCGGCAGGGCTTTAAAGTGGTGGCAGGGCTTTAAAGTCCCGGCGCTGTTCGCTATAGAGCGGGACCCGGTCTCCCTGTTGGACACAGCAGTGAAAACGTCCCTGCCACTGCCCCCCTCCTCCGACCTCACCACTTTGAAGAAAGAAACACACATGCACACACACACACACAGACACACAAATTCTTCACAATAAAAAATTACAAATTAAATTACAATAATTTTGAATC